AAAAAATTTTAATGAAGATATTTATCTTAATTATGAAAATATACTAGCATGTTTTTTAATTTTTGGAACCTAACCCTCCTTTTCGTATTAGTTCTTTGTTTCGTATAACACGGATTCGCATAACACGGCAATTTTTTGGAACGTAACTACCGTGTTATATGGGGGTTACCTGTATATTTAAAGTATAACATTATTTCCTTAATTGTAAGATAGGCTATGAGAGTAAAATAAAATTACAAAATTTTTAACATAATAAATATTATCAAGCTTTGTTAGCAAGGTATAAAAAAAATACAAATTCCATGAAATAGGTAATGTTTGTAGCATTTCTATGCTCTTTTGCATATACAATAACTATTCACTTTAATGCTGTATAATATTGTCATCTAGAAGGCATTAAAAAGAAGTTTAAATTATCTGCTTGATATTAGCCATGCTCATTTGAACCGATGTGACCATTGAATAGCATAGTAGTAAGTATGCAAAATGCACCACATGGTAACTTGAGATAATTGTTGTTTTGAATTGATCATAAGACACCATTGATTCTAAGATGCAGTAATATTTCAGACAAGTAAAAATGGGTAAAAAAAGTACATCTTAAAACTGATTAAATACAAAAATAAATGAAGAAAATATGAAAAAATAAACTTAAAAATTACATAAAATATTTCTCACCTTTCAGCTAAATCAAGAGCTTCTTGATTGGGAGGTGGAATAACAAAGCAAACACTTGGTACCATTCCTTCTGCTCCACTAGAATTATTTATCTAAAGAACCAGAAAAATATGTAAATACATATAACATATATTATATTATTTGTATATAAAAAAAATAAATTCTAAATTTACTATATATTTTTTTTATTATTTAAAATCTTTTTACCTTCCATTTGATCTTCTGAGAATTATCATGAAGCCAACATAGTTCATCTTTTGTAATAACCATCTAAAAAATTAATAATGATTTAAATATTAATAAATAAAGTAATAAATATTTTATTTTGTTACTTTATATATACTATTATACATATAAATAATATTGAAATATATATTCAAAAATGTTTATAACATTATTAAATTATTTAATAAAAGATTATTACTAATTACTAGTCATTTTAAAGATTAAAAATTTAATTTGTTAACAATTTAAGCGATATTTACATTTAGCTGTTTATATGTGCATATAGCTGTAATACGCAACGGCCTGGGAAGAGGATATCTGCGTTGCTTCAGTGGGACAATATGTTTACTTTGTTCTATTAGAGCAGAGACAACATCTCCATAACGTGAAATATTGTTTCTCAATTCATGCATTTCTTTTATCAGCCTTTCACCTTCATCAATATTGAATATTTGTTTACTAAATGTTGTTTTCAATTTATCTTCTATTTGATTTAACCACTGTTCACATTCTTTTGCTTCTCTGAAAAACTGAAATGAAAACCAAAATTTATATTGTTTTCAAGTAACTTATGCCAGATAGTAGTTATAACAGAATGTAATAGCCTAGAGTTAAACAAATGTCAATTCTGACAAATGAAACTAAATGATAAAGAACAGTTTTATGATACAACATCACTTCTGCTGTATTTTATAAATAAATTACAGTAAAACTCCAATTATCCAAATTAATCGTGACCTTGGGCCATCAGGATATGCAAAATATTTGGATAATTGTATTTTTGTTCAGAATAGTCATTACTTTCTCTCCAAAACACTCCATTATGTACATGGGTACATAATTATGTGCAAATAAAATATTAAATGTAGAAACGTAGTGACAAATGAATATATTTTAATTTCTGCATTTAGAAAAAAAATCAATTTTCATGCACACACAATACATATACATACATGCTTATTTATTTTTCAATAAAGTCAAATCTAGATAACTGCGATTTTATTGTACATAATGAAAGTTAAATTATAGATTTCTGTTAATTAATAAGACAAAAAGAAATATTTAATTCTGTTTAAACTACCTAACATTATATTATAAACGTAGATTAATAATAAAAATATGATGTCATTTCAGAAATTTTTTTAAATCAATGATGTAAATTTATAATCTATAACAATTTATCATAGTTGTAAGTGTTGAAAATTAATTCATGTTAATACTAACAGAATTATTATTTATTAAAATATTAATAATAGTGAGAATATCTGTTAATTTTGTTAGGTGTATTAAATACTCGGCTCGGACGTCACGCCAACAGTTAACTCAATCAAAAACATTCAACTTAAATATGTATGTCGTCTTCAGGCAATTCAAAATCGAATAGAGAATTCGAATAGAACATTTAAATTTAAGCATTAACAATATTAGCCATTTTTGGAATATAACTATTACAAATAAGATTTAAGTTTTAGAATTAAAAACATTTAAAATTGGCATGCATGCATTTTAAAACAAATAAATACTGATTGGAATGGCTATTAATTATTTTGTAAAACGCAAAAAATTGGCACATGTGCATCTTAACATGCATAACATAAGAGCCATTTAGAATGGCTATTAAGAACAAGTAAATTTTAGACTTTAAATTAAAACATTTTGTAAACATGTATAAAATTTTTGGCACACATGCGTACCAAAAATGTTGAGTATTCAACAAGTAACTAACATGGCGGCTTCCATGAAAAAGTAAATTTCACTTATAGAAACTATCCATTAGCTGCTGTGAATGCCATAATAGTGGACAGATTAATGAACAATCTGTATATGATAAAACATGTGATTGCACGATTATGTTAAATAATTTGGTCAATATTGAAATATTAAGATTTTTTTCATTTGTCCAAAATTGATTACAACTGATATTTGGCCCTCTAAGTCTTCCTAATGATATAAATATTCAAGAAATTAATTGAAATTATTAAAGAAAGACCCAGTATACAAGAAAATGATACAGATATGGGTTCACTTGAATAAAAGGATTTATTCGAATAATGGTTAAGCGAGTTATTTTAATTATTTAGCAAAACAGTCACAATTGCCAACTTCTCGTTACTTAAGTCAGCCATCTTAAAAAGCAACCTCTCAACGAAAGTGTTTCTTTTTTCTGCAAAACATGACGTCAGATCGTTCAACGGAGGGACTCAACGGAAAAATCACTGTTGAGTCAACCGTTGAATATAGAAACATATGAATAGATGATAAATTGCATACACATTTATCACTACCTGGAAGTGTAAAAAACATTTTAGAGATTATATTTTATTGCTTAGTTTTTACTTTTCCAGGATATATTATAATGGTTTTTCATTATTTTGCCCTTGGACAGGTGCTGGTGACTCAATTTTACATCATTACATATAATTACATAAAGATTACTTGAAATGAAAAGAAATGTTTTTATTAAATATAGTTGCCTTACAGTCCTTAATTCTAATTTATCATTGATTGTCTATTTGGACACAACTTATTATTAGGACCTTATACTGGTGATTTTGGATATTGACACAGGAAAAATTACTACAGGTAATTTTTCCTGTAAAAATTACTACTGGCGATATAATAAAGAAATTTTGTTTTTTCTGATTTACATCTCATCTTTGTGTCAATATCCAAAAACACCAGTATAAGGTCCTAGTAATAAGTTGTGTCCAAGTAGACAATCAATGATAAATGTTTTTATTCCTTAATTTGTATATAACAGTGACATACAACAAAAATTCACTATACCTTTAAAATGCAGTCTAGTTTACATCTGTCGAACGTTTTCGGTCTGATTCACAAACCTTCATCAGGGTCGAATTATCAATCGAAATATATTTCAAATTTGCATAACGGAGATTCCAAACTGCACGTTCTTCTCGATTGCGCATGCTCATAAATATAATTTTATAATTTTAAAGTTGCCGCTTTCCATGCCGACGCTATTTTGTTCGATTCACGGAAATTTATATTACGCCCTTTTTCTTTGCTCTTGTAAATGTGCCAGGCTTCTGCATATTTTAGATGTTTTATATTTTTCACTTTTTGTANTTATTAGGACCTTATACTGGTGATTTTGGATATTGACACAGGAAAAATTACTACAGGTAATTTTTCCTGTAAAAATTACTACTGGCGATATAATAAAGAAATTTTGTTTTTTCTGATTTACATCTCATCTTTGTGTCAATATCCAAAAACACCAGTATAAGGTCCTAGTAATAAGTTGTGTCCAAGTAGACAATCAATGATAAATGTTTTTATTCCTTAATTTGTATATAACAGTGACATACTTTATGAAAAATAAATAAATTGGCATAATTGGTGAAACGTTTTAAAAAGCGGTTTTGAAATTGTTAAAAAATCAATGTTTTTATTAATCAAACATTATTCATCAAAGAATTGAAAAAATAATATGATGAAAAAATTATAAAAGAGCATAAGATTTCTAAAATTTCTTTGAAAATAAGATAATGAAATGTAAGTAAAAATAGAAAAACATTTTAAAATTAATGTGTCCTATAAGTATAATTATAATTTTAAAAATTACCTAAATGTATAATTAAAATATATAATTTAAATTTTTGTATATTGAATGATATGAAATAAATAATTTTTGATCTGAATAAATGTCAATAAACTTTCTTTACCTGATGATAGTTTGAAGCATGATCTAAATGAACTTCAAGACAACGAATTAATTGCAAAAGCCATGACCACTGTGTTTGCATAGCTGCTAAGTAAGCCTAAATTTACAGTAAATAAATATATCAAATTTCAAGAAATTTTTTGTACTTTCTAAATAGTAACAATCACACATCAAAATTTAATACTTACCTCAATGCACTTTGTAGCAGGATGATGTTGAAGAATTAAACTCTCACCTCTATCTTGTACTGAATTAAATTGTATTTCTCTCCTCTCCATATCGCTAGTTAGTAACTAAATTAAACACAAGTAACAGAAACAACACTCGAATGCATAAAACAAATAAATAACAAACAAAATACTGAAGCATATAAAACAAATAAAACATTGCATTCTATTCAAAAAACATAACAATAAAACAAAGCTGTACATTAAAAGAAATGGAAATTTACAGAATTAAAAGATATTTCTCTAATGTAATATTTTGAAGATACAGACATGAAGTATAATGAAGAAAAATATTGCACTTATAGCAACATTTTGACAAAATTCTTAAAACAATAAATAGCAGTTGATGTTGAAAATTCAAAATTAATACATACAGTATTTAAAATAAGAATCTTTTTTAAAAAAATATTTTCAATATCTAACTTTCAGAAAAATGAATGTCATAGTTTTCATTTTCAAATAAAATAATAAAAAATCTCACACAAATTCTAAGTTAAATATATATATATATCAAGAAATTTAAAAATTCTGAATAATTAATATAATGAATCAATACAAATTTTTTTTTATAAATTTACCATGTTAATTAAGAAAACATTTGAAAATAAAATAATGAAAACAAGAATTTTAATCTCTTAAAGCATAAAAACATTACTTTATAAATTTAGTCTGAATTTTTATCATTTGATGTAAAAATTTTTTTCTATTTTTAAGAGATTCAATACATTTATACATGTTTTAAGTAAGACTATTCATTATGAAATAAATTTAACAGAACAGATTCATTTTTATTTTCCTACATTGCTTATTCATGTATCATTTCAAAGACATTATCTTTAAAGGATATAAGTTTTCTTCTATAAATTAGTTTTTAATTGTTTTAATAAGACATTTAAATGTCTTATTAAAACAATTAAATGATTTGAATTTAAAAAATATTAGTATATATAAGATGATATTAAAGCATGCATTAGTTATTAAATGCTTTTAGAAAAAATATCATAATACATCACTTTTTCATGTTTGAGTCTGCCTTATGAGCACTAAAGAAGGCTTTTTTTCTATATCCATCTTGGGTTCAGTTAAGCCCACAATGGGATGACCGCATGGTGAGGACAGGACCCAACATATCTGAGATTTATTGCATCATGAAAAGCTTCTGAGGTGGTTTGCCTAGATTCAATCCTGGGTCCTCAGTAGGCTAATGCCTTGGCCATCCATGTCAAAAATAAATGGCAATACATGATGAAATGATAAAAAGTGATATTACTATTATAAACTGTCTTAAAAAGTAATAAATATATATATTTATTACATATTATATATATATATATGTTTAAATATACATATTTTATCATCTCAATGTACTAATTTCAGATAGAAATGATATTTTGTTGTTTTTACTAGCTTAATGTAGAAGTGGGAATAAACATTACAATAAATTAGAATATAAAATTCTTTGAAACTGATATCTGTTGCACTACACCCATTTGCTCTAGTTTCTAAAACAATAATTATATCAATTCTATAATAATTAAACTATATTCATTTTACAGCTTACAGTATATAGAACATTATACTACTGTATCATTTGTAGGATATTTGTGTATCAAAATATCCTTAATTATTTAACATTTAAATCTTACAACATAACAAGTGTTTGATTAATCTTCTGTACATTTATGTTAACTTTTTAAAAATCATTTCTAAGAATTAACTTTATGATAAAGAAATATTCACAAATTTCATCATTTTCAAATTTGCTATTTTTCTTCATTATACCAAAAGTGTGCATCTTCTGATACTTATATTCAAAATATTCAAAGTTTAATGATTTCATACCTTATGATATTGTTCAACCTCAACAAGATTTAAGTTTTTAGAACTCCAATCTCTTGAAACTTCAGTTTCTTCTTTTTCATTCATCCAAATTAATTCATTTGTTGCTGATTGAATAAAATCTACTAGTGTCTCCAAATCACTAAGACGTTTATTAGACATGACCTAATATAAAAAATATATTTAATTTTTGTCAATAAGTTAATTTAGATAAATAATTCAATAATTAAACTTACTAAAAGCTCAGAATATCCTTTTTCTAATCTACCCAATAATCTGCAATATAGTTCATATTCTTCTCCTTTAAAATGATTCTGAAATATTAAGCAAATATTCAGTCATAATGAAAATAAAATATTTCAATTCTTAACTCTTAAAATTAATGTGCTTTTTATTTAAAATTGATGAAAAAATATATGCTTTTGTGTATAATCATTTCATAATTTACTAATAAATTTTTATAATTAAAATATTGAAACTTAACAAATAAAGACTAACAACATTTACTGAATATTCATTTAAAATGTATGCAAGTAGATCACTTCATTCATGTTTAGATGCATTAATTTTAAGAATTTATTACGACATTGATAAAATTCTAAACGAATAAATTTTCTATATAACTAGCATTTTATGCAAAATTATAATTATATCTTATTTACAAAAGAAAACATAAATAAAATTATTTTATTAAAAATAGAATTTTATAAAATATCATTAATTTAAAAATTATTGTTATTGTTGTTAAGGGAGTAGACCCTACTCAAGGATCTCTGCCAAATAAAAGATGAGAGAAAAGAATGAGAATGAGGATAAAAAGGAGGAGAGAGAATTCCAGTAGGGTAGTGGGCAGATAGAGTAAATAGTAAAGAGAAACAGGTTTACAAGTGATGATAACATCTAATATATATAATGAAATAAATCTGTTTTCTTTTATACTAGTAGTCCGGGACACCCCCTAGTGGGCATTGTTTACAAATTTTCATGAAACACGGTTCCTTTGACTTTTTTGTTCCTATCAATATGCTCTACAGCTCTGTTAAAATCCCAATGGTAAGATTAGGTGAAGACTTGGCGACCCCCCAAACTGTAGCCCCCTGTGCGAACAATAAAAGCAAAGGAACCATACCCTTACTCGCAACCCTTCGTGAGATATAAGCCCCTGAAATAATAAATTCCTATTACAAATATACTGAATTATTTATATTGTTATATTGATCAAATAATAATTTATTGGCCAAATGAATAATAATAATTCATATTGTTAATTTAAATAAGAATTAAAATTGTTAATTTGAATGTTTGAAATATGACACACGATAGGCGCCTCTAGTGTCCATTATCAAACGGTTACGGGACAGACAGACGGATACCAGTTGAATGGGTTATATATATAGATTTGTGAAAACAGTAACAAAAACTACAGAACTTTTTAATTTAAATTAAAATATTAAAAAATATTACTGAAATATTCACAAAATTAAACTAAATTTTAATTAGATATATTAAATATAAATTATCACTATTCCAAAACTGTAATGTTACCTTTTGAGAGACACACTTATCAATATTTTTTTGGAATTGGTCAATTGTTCTATGGTCAATTTGATGCTGTTCTAAAAATGTTTGGACACTTGGCAAATCATTTCCATAATCTGCTTCTTCCAAACCTTTCTATAGACAAAATGAAATTTTAATAATTTTCTCAAGAATTTGAATAACATCAAAAATTTAATTATTTATTCAAAAATTTTCTCCAATACTCACCAATTTATTATTTATCCAATCAATACATTCTTGAAGAAACTGGAATGATTTATTTGTTTCAACAAGTCTTTGTTCTGTTACTATGTGACGTTGTTTTGTGACCTTGCGCTCTTCAGTTACAAAAGATCGAGTAGCAAGAACGTTTAGAAGGCGAGATTGAAAATTCAACTGAATGTTAACCCAGCGTTCATGAATTATTTGTACTCTATCAAAATAAATAATTTATTATTTTTATATTCTATAAATAATATTTAAAATATTCTGATTCACATATAGTTATTTATAGTTTATTATAAAATTTAATTTGAAAGAGAAATTTTCAATAAACTAAAATTGAATGATGTAAGGATGGATGAAGGAGGTAAGAAGAAATGTAAACAGAATTAGAAAGATTAAGCAGGCAGTGATATGTGTTATAAGAATGGATGATTGCATTATATGCAGGTTTGCTTTGAGAAACTTAAGCGATAAGTTAAACATAAGAGATATGTATGTAAGGATAAGGTAAGCACAAATCTAGCACAGAGGCATATAACAAGATTAGTATGGCATGGAATGAGATAAGGAATAGTTTACAAGGTTGATATGTTTATAAAGTTGAGAATGGTTGAGCAGACATGTATTTATCTGTTAAGTATGGGAACAATGTTGTAAATAAGAATGATGCTGATATGTTATTAGAGATTTGAAGAGTGGTAATTAAAAAGAGGAAGGAAGAAATGATGAGAGTGTTAAGGCATCCTTAGGATAAGCTTAGAATCAGGCCAGCACTACCATATGGGTAAACTGGGCATTCCAAAGCAGCAAATTTTCATAAATTTATACAAAATTTTCAGGCATATTTATTTTTTAATGTTCTTTTATTTTTATTTATTATTATTATATGGCTTGAGTTGAATATTGATTGACAGAGCAAAGTAAGCACTTTTAATTGGTATGGATTTCAAAATAAAATTTTTTTCTTTTTTGTAGGAGGATAAGAGGCATTAAATGCATATCTTGCCCCACATGGCATAAACTCTAGCACCAGCTCTGCTTAGAATGATGAGAGTTAGAAAAGTTAATAACAATGCAATAGTAATGTTGATACTCTGATATGTTATTTGTTGGAGAATTGAGAGTTACTGTGTTATGAAGAATTTGAAAAAATGGTTAATTAATCTTTTGTTTTAACTGATTGAAGAGTTTGAATTCTATGTTACCATGAAAATAGGAAAAATTTTTTTGAAGGCTAAAAATGTTTGAAAGAACTGAATTTTGAAAATTTGTATTTGTAGTCATTGCTTTATAATGTGTTGTATTATTCTGCTGAAGATGGGAGAAATGTTTCCCAAAGAATTTCATAAGTTTTTGTGATTCCTTGAACAAGGTTTTGATGATGATGTGTGCTAATTACAGAAAGTTTTTGATAAATTATATGAAAATAAATGTATAAATATTAAAACAAAAAATAGTGTTTATTTATGAGCATTCATGTTTAGTCTACTGATCTATTACAGATCAAAATTTCTACCCAGTGCATAAAGTTATATGAATAATTTGGTGCACCCTATAATATTTGCTAAAAATTTTGAACATTTTGTACATTATATACAGATTAAAGTTTAAAAATTTTTCTAAAAGGCATTTCACTTTTCTTACATCCTCTTTTCATCCCTCCTAATGAAGTGTATGCAAAGCTTAAGAACCACTGTACTAAAGCTTTGAAGTTTTGTTTTATATCAATATCTTGAATTATACCTTAATCTGATTCTAGCTTTGATATCTAATTTTCATTTTCATTCATTATGATAATCTAAAATCTATAGTAATTTCATTTTCAACAACTATTTTCTTATGAAATCTTAAAATTACCTTCTTTGTAATTCAGGAGCTTGATGATATTTTCCATCTTTTAAAGTTTGTACATCTCTAAACATGGACTTAATATTATCTTCAATATGTTTTAAATTTGATTCTATTTGATCACAGTTATGCTTTGAATCCATTGGATGAAGTCTTTGAATTCGTTTCTCCTCCTGTAAAAATTTTATATTAAAAAAATTAATTGATTTAAGTATATAAAATAAAATAAAATTTATTTAAAAAATTCCTTTGAAAAACTTACTTCTGCTATTTTTTTTTCTACGTCATCTAATTTGTTATCACATTGTTTGGCTTCTCTATGCACTTTCTCAGCTAATCTTTGCAATTTTTCTAATCTACATAAATATAAAAATATATTAGTTTGCAAATATAAACAAAACACCATACTCTTGCTGAGCTTATTATTACTTTAATTTCAAACGTTTTCAGCCCAATTTCAATAGGCCATCTTCAAGAACTATTCGAATACAACTTTCGAATAACTTTTAAATTTAAACTTTTAACATAAACTGTAACTATTAACTATTTAACATATTTGTAAATATCACCGTAAACCATTAAATATTTAACTAAAAAATTTNGCTAAAAGTACAGTATTTATTTTTAAAGCAACAATATTATAATAAACAGATGTATAAGACCCACATAAACTAGACAAAATTATTTTTCTTATTGGTTCATCTTTTATTAGCAAATATATCATTAAAGTAGTAACAGTCCTATTATGAAAAATTTATTTATTATTAAAATGCTTATATTTTAAAACTGTAATAAATTCTAATTTTAGTAATATGCATTAAGTTACTGCACAAAATACACTATATTTTAGGAGAATATGAAGTTTTCGTAGAAGAATATAAATCTTTCATTTATATATATATATTATATAAAGAAAAAGATGCAATTTTATCTGAATTTCTCTTCATATAATGAAAGATATGGGAGATCTTTAAGTTGTATTTTTTAATCTGTCAAATACATCTATTGAAAAAGTATTTCACTCTCTCTGAATACATGTTGCAGAAAAAGCATTTTTCTGCAACATGTATTCAGAGAGAATGAAAAACAGAAGAGAAAATTCAGTTTGAATATAAAAAATTTTTTAAAAGCAAGCATATTTATTTTGTTGTTTATCTCGTTGATTAACAATCAGTTAAAGTTAATAATAATTCAAATCATTTATTAATTTTGCAGACTGTAATAGAAAATATGAATGCTAAAATCTAAGGAAAAAAGGATATAACCAGTACATTGGTTTATGGTTCAGTTACTAAAACTCTAACAACACATTTTAGGGTTGTGACCTACCATTAACTAAATAAAAATAATTTATAATATTCTCTTTTAATGTATATTAAAATTTTGCTTAATTTCACTTAAATAAGACCCACTGGTAGATAAAAACTAATTTAGGATAGTCTAGGTAATTCTTACCACTTTTAGAGTAATACTGAAAAACTTTTCTAACATGGATTGTACAATCCAATCACTTTGACATCATATTGATCTTATAAGTTTTTAAAATAGATTTTTTTGATACTTTGTGAATATAGTGCTGATTTTGCCCTCTCTCTAAAAGCATGCAGTTATATATATAGAAATATATATGTAGTAATATATTATCTAAACATAATTTCAATGGCAATTTCAATGAAATTTAGTTACAGAGATGATTAAAAGTGGGCTCCAGGAGTAATTTATAAAAAAAAATCTGCTGTGATTTACTGTAGCTTCAAAATATAAACATGTTTTTTAGAAAACATTAATTTTTCTAAATTCTTATAACTAGTTCTTATTTTTCCCATTTTTGAATCTTTCTATCTGATAGGCACTAAGAGGACCTTTTTAATCATATCCATTGTGTGTTTGGCCAGGCCCACAATGGAGCAGCCAAACAGTGAGGGATAGGATCTGACATATCCAGGACAGATTGTCCACAAAAAATTTCTGAGCTTGTTTACCCAGATTAAATCCAGGATCCCCAGAATAATAAACTGATGTGTTAACCACCTCAGACATCTGACCATTGATTCTTTTAATTAAAGATATGAAAAAAAAAATCAAATCTACAATTGTTTTACCATTATATATATATATATAACTTTATTTTATATATATCTACCTGTTTATTTCAATATGAATTGCTTGGTCCCTTTCTTGAAGTGCAAGCATTAATCTATTCCATTGTCTTTCTATAGTATCATACTGTAATTCCACTTCTATATCCACAGCACCACTTTCACGAAATAATTTCTAGTTAAAAATAATAAAATTGACATTAATAATGAAATAAATGGATTTTACATGATAATTTATTAATTAAATATCAATATTTTGATTTGCCTATTTATATATTTTGCACATAGCATTTTATAAATATATGGCTTTCTATCTATAACATATTTGCTAAAAAATTTCCCAGTGAATATGTTTTGAGTAAAGTAATTTGTAAAAAAATCATTTTTAATCTTAATTTATTTTTTATAAATTAAGATTAAGGCTATGTTTTGAATTTTTAATTTTGAATACTTAATATATGTACAGAATGGTGCATTCTGATATTTATTTATGAAACTCTTTTCATGTTTTAATGTGTTTCTTCATTAAACTAAAAATTCCATATGACAATTATCAAATCAAACTTTATTTAGCAGTAGGAAATTTTCCTGTTCCATATGACAATTATTACAAATAAAATATTTTATTACAGTGATTTCGATTGTTGTTACAAAAATTATTTGAATATAAAGTATATTTTACCTGTAATTCCCTGTTCATATGTGATAACCTTTGTTTATCTTGTAATCTGGGAGGAACATCTTCTACGCGGAATCTATTACATTCCGATTATATATTTTACATTAAAAAAAACTAAATTTTGAAGCTTCTACGTTGTAGCCTCTCTGAACTAATGGCGTTAGTTTTTACAGTTACAATAGTTATTTTGTGAATTAGAAACAAATGGATGAAATTATGAATGTTAAATTTGATATTAAGGAGGATACTTCTGGTACGCATTAATATAAAATACTGTACATTTATTGTCTGCAGAAAATATTTTTCTTCTAATGAGTAAATTGTACCACCTATTAATCTAAATTTATACAGTTTAATTAATCATTCAGTCTTATGCTTGAAATATCGGGATGATAATTATTCAAATAATAGCGTTGTAGAATTTAGTATACATAAGCCTACTGTACTTTTATTAACAGGAAATTCTACACCACTCATTATCTTGCTCCTGATATGAAATAACGATAAAGAACTCTAACCTTTCCTATTTAGCAATATAACAAAAATAAGTTAATTAAAGGAACATATATTACAATTTTTGAAATTAGTAATGCTTTGATTATTACTACTGTTTATAGTAGTAATAAGCAAAATATTAAATAAGCAACAGCTTACTTTGTTTTTAACTTTACAATAATTTAAATTAATTATCTTTTTCATATTTTAAGCCAGCGATGACCAACAGGCAACCTGTAAAGTGCTTCTGTGATCTACCACAAGACAGACAATAATTGCATATTTCAGCAAATCTTTTTTTTCAATAATCGCTTTAAATAGTGATGTTCAAAAGTCTTGCACCAGTTAATTACAAGAACTATTTAGTTTTCATGAGTGCCAGTGTTTGCATTAGCGGCAGTTAGTAAAGTTAAAGTAAAATGTATTTTATCACCATTAATGGTTTTTTAATCTAATTTCCCAACGTTTTATAACAGTGTTATGATAAAGAGCTTAGTTTGGTAATTTTTGTAGAGGAGGTAGCAAGGGAGAACATACAATAGCCTATGTCATAGTATAGCTTTCGCCATTTCGAAAGTTGTATTGCTGTTTTAAACTGTAAGATGTCCTATTTTAATTTAAACTTAATACTACTATTATTGTTTATGTTTATCATAATTTTATTTAAACATTTTTAATAATCATTTCTGAGTTTTAAAACATTTTATCTCAACAGCCCCAGATTATTAAAATTATTTTTTATTATAATTTTAATAAAATGGAATTGACACAAAACAAGCCAAAAAGTTTCCATATAAATTTCATTTTAAAAAAGTAAATTAATTGTACAATCTATATTTATTGAAAGTAATAGTTAACTTATTATCAAATTGGATTATCTTAGATATAAGCTAAAAAGTAAAATATTTAAGATTTATAAAAGATTTAGCTATATTTAATATTTTAGAATAGTTGACATATATCAACTATTCTAAAATATTAAATATAACTAAAACATTCTTGAAATAAATAAAAAATTATTTTTGAAAGCTGATATTTATTTCTGCTAAAAGGTAACATATTTACAAGAAAAACATAGATAATGCAGCTTTAATATTCTTGTAGCTACATAGGGTATTATTTTGAGAAAGAATATACGAAACTGTTACATCAAAAAATCATGAAAGTGCATTGTTTGAATAAATTCTTGTGTTCTGTAGTCAACAGTTTGATATTAAGTATAAGGAAACTATAAAATTTGTACCAATGATTGTCAAAGTTAAAAAATTTATCATTCTTTCAATAAAACATGGAACGAGCTGATAAAGATTTGTCGCGTCAGGTTNATGTGGAAGATTGTATGCAATTGACTTAAGAGAATGAAAAGTGAATGAAGCATGTTTTATTTTAAATTTAGAGCATGTTCACAAAGAAACTGTGTGACAAATATTTTGGAATTGCATAGAGAGTGTTTTATTTGGAATATCCTGGAGGTGTTTGATGACTTTTGTCAAAGAAGTAACTTTCTGGTTCTTCTTTCAAGACTTTTTGTCTTCATTTATTGTATATAAAGTTTGTTCATATTTGTGGATCTAATTTACTCTAGTAGAGAAAGTTTGTAGTTTTGTTCTATCCATGAAGAACTGGTTTTGTTAGAATTTAAGCCAACCATCAACTTTGTGGAAATTAAATGGTTAAATATACTATCAATTATTTTTTCAAGTTTATATATATTGCAAATAAATTTTTATTTACTTCTTTTCTTCATTAATTGTGTATAATTTGAATTAAACCTGAGTTTCTTCAAAGTGATAACATATACCAGAAACATACTTTTATAATGAACTATTTATATTTAATTAATTAACTAAAATAAATATAAATAGTTCATTATTAATTTTAACTTGCTATCAATAATAGTTTTTATTCCATTCATATCAGATAATATATAGTTTTAAAATAAATAACATATGATTTTTCTCCAAAATTAAAACGTCATACATAAATTTATTTCTACAGCTTTTTTCAAACTAAGAATTAAGACATATTCAATATATTTGGAAACTAACCACGGTATATCCAGTGGTATAATAGTAATGAACAAATAAATATTCATTGAATGTTTAACATTTCACATAAATGTTGCAAGTTAAGATGTCTAAATAATGAATTATTCGAAATAATTTATGGACACAACTTAATTGTTACATCAACATCTTGCTAATATCTTTCAAGTTTTTTAACATTGAAAATATGTTTTCAAATAATCAATAAACTGACGACATATAAATTTCTTCACATTTCATTTTCATATTTACAAAATGCTATTTTTCTTACAAATATTTAAGCAATTTATACATTTCTTTAAATTTAATTTAGATAGAATTAAGCATAAGCATTATTAGTTCAATAATATCTGAATTATTTCATGTTTTGAGAAAAATAAAATATATTTATTAATATATTTGGTCTACATGTAATTGTTATCATATATAAATAGTTTATTACCTAATATATAATCCACATTGAAAAACTGTAGCATAAATATATATAAAATTAAAGTATATTGATAAAAATATATTATAATGTAAGACATCAAAGCCAAAGCACATTATCTTCTATCTATATTATTATGTTTAAATCAAAAGCAGTATAAAAAAAGTATTGATACTTATAATTAAAATAAATGTTTATATCCTAAGTACAAAATATTTGTTAAATTTACCATGAATGTAGTCAATTGAAATGATATATTGATTGAATTAAATAATACTGTTTTGATTTCTAAAGATTTTTCCAATAACACTTTTTAACTTGTTCAGCTTGAGAACAATTTAATATGTTGATATATCAGTTTTTGATGCTTTATAGAGTCATAACATTTTTCTGTAGAAAATAAATATTTTTTCCTTTAGATGTGTGAGTCAGTGATGATCCATACCACCTGATAAGTTCCTACATATGTATTTAGATATTTTATTTAAATTTTAATTGTGCAGTACTGATTGTTAGTTTCATGGATAAATGTATAGTTTGATTTATTAGAGAAAAAGATCAGATTTTTTTGCAATTTATTTTATTTTAACTATTAAATTAATTTAAGAACAAACTCAATTCATATTTTTTTTTATCTTGTTTACAAAATAATAAATATTTTACTGCAATAAATGTAGTTGTATCAAATAAATTATATTGAGTAATAATGTAATCATAATTTATATATAAAAATGTATTTTTTAAATCTTCAAAAATTCATGACATTAATAATAAAAATATTTGGCTTTTTAAGAAAAAGGAGTGATATTAAAAACAGTGCACTAAAAATTATTGCAGTAAACAGCCATATAAATCAAAATTAAATGGAATGTATTGTGATGCATGTCACTTACAGGAAAACTGCAATATGACCTCCAATACATCACGCTAAGCTGAACATGTTAACATTAAAACAAACTTTTCACAGCAAAAATTCTAATGTTTATCATTAATTTTTGTCATGTTTAGATTATAACAGAAGAATACTATAGTATTCTGAATGTTTCATTTAAATAGCAGGTATTTTTATTTCATTTAAATTGAAAATAAATGAATGCTTTTCATACACAAATTAATTAACTATATTTCAACATAAGTTTCATATAAAAATTTAAATTTTGATCTAACAATTTTTAATTTAAAATTTTCCTAATCAGATTATTATTACTATTATTTTTGGTTATTAATGGAACCAGAATACAGCCTGAGTTCCAATTTCTTATTAATTAAGTAACCAAAAAACAATATTTCTTTTTAATGGTTTTGTTGTGTTAATAACAATTACTTTACTATCAATTACATAAATAAAAAATTCATTTTCAACTATATCTCTGCAGATATCACTCAATATCTCTACTTTCAACTAAAAAAACCAAGTTTAGACATTCTAAAACTTGTGCAAATTAAAGACATTTTTAATCTGTGCAAATAATCATTGTAATTTTGTAAATAAAAAAATAATCTCATTAAATAAATGTTAAGTTAAAATTGTGAAATTAAAATTTAAATTATTACACAAAAAAATGAATTTATTTTCTGAACTACAATGAACTATTAATTAATTTCTGCATGGCTAAATTTCACTGGGCTTCAATGTATATGAGATAAATATACCTTCAATTTTTATACAAAATATTCTGTATAAAGTCAGCTACATAAAGTTATTTTTTATAAATATAAGAAACTAAATATTTATTTTAAAAAATTTTTAAATATTGAAAAATAATAATAAACAATAGTATGATCTTTTTAACCTAATAAACAATAGTAGAACTATATTAATTGCTGTGAAAAATAAATACTGTAAATAATGATATCAAAATTTCAAAACGAAACAACAACTTTTTATTTAATTAACACTAAAATATGATACATTTATTTTACTCCAGATAACACCAAAACTGAAATAATGAAGTAACTATAATATTTTCAAACTCTCATTTCTTGCTTAAGGAAAAATTTAAATAATCACTTATCATGACTTTGCATTACTAAAATTCCATTATTTTAAAGAATTTAATATTAAAGCATTTAATAATAGTTTAAAAATCAAATCTAACAATTTCTAATCCTCCATCTCTTTGCATCATCAAGTTTCAACAGAATGGAAAGTACAGTACACAAATAAAATTTCTAAAAAATTTTTTATTGTTTATACTTATAACTAAGTGCATTTAAATACTAATATATTGCTAATATATTTAATTAGGCTATTTTACATGAAAATGATAAAATTAAATTACAAACAAATGATTCTCTTCAATGTTACTTTAAGTATTTTCAATTAAATTTTAATAAATAAATAAGAAGTTAATTAAATTTTTCTCCCTTATGTTAATAAAATTTTTTATATTAACTATATCCATCTATTCTATCTAAGATAAATTGGAAAGCATGTTATCTTTAAAATACTTCAAAATAAAAGGTTTAGATGTTATCTAATGGAAAGAGGTGTTCAAATACTATTAATTATAAGATTGGTCTTTATAGAATGTGAATTTGTTAAATATTAAAATTAATAATAAATTTGAAAATTATGTAAAAATTCTTACATCATCAGCAAAAGGATGATATGCTGGTGGTTCTGGAAAGACATCATACAAGGAAGATATGTAAGTGATGAGAGATTTTTCATCAGGTTCAGGTGTATCGACATCTAAAGATATAATATAATTTTATTATTGTTTTAAAACTATCAATTTGTAATGAATTATTTAAAATTCTGTTTGTATATTTCTAGTTTCATAAGTACAAAAAATAAAAAAACTCATAAAACTTTATATCAGAATAAAAATTAATAATAAAATTTAATTTACCACATGAATTTAAATTCATATGATAAATTTTTAAAAAATTACATATAAATTATAATACATAAAAAAATAACATAAAAAATTTTAAAATTAATTAATCAAATTTATAAATGAAACTTTTAAATAAATAGATCATTTATAAATATTTTTTAATGTAAAAAACATTTATTTTGACTGGAAGTTTTTATATTTTTACATCAAGCAGAAGAAAAAGTGTTTAATTTGTCACACTATGTGAACACAGAGACAATTATTTCCTCCAAACAGGTCTGGGTGTGGAATAAAGAATGCAAGGCAACCATTTCAATTGTATCAGTATGTACAAAACTGAATAGAGTCTGTGATTTAAACTATTTTAAATTAAATGACTGATTATTAGAATTTAAACTAAGATAATTAAAATACAAACCTTCTGGATCAAGTAGCCTAGTAACACCAAATTCTTTTTCAGCAATGTAAAATGAAGTTTCTAAATTTTCTCTAGCTGTCCTGTTTCTTAAAGATCTAAAATCTATCAGGTCAGGCCTGAAATAAATAATTTTAAATATATTTAAAACATATGTATTAAAAGTATTTTTAAAATAAAAATTTTTGTATTTTAAAATGTATTTAAAGTTAACAGTTGTAAATTTTAAAATATTTGATATTAAGAAAGAACTACATTCAAAGCAGAACATGAAGTTAATGTTTAGATTTAAAAAACATTCAATTAGTAACACTTGATAACAAATCATACATTCCATTTTGGAAAACTGAAGCTAAAGATGTTCTTAAAAAGAACAAAAATGTTTCTGAATAAAAAACAATTTGGTATCCTGAACTAAGGAATAATATTATCATTATTAAAATGGTGCCAAATTCATTCAACATTTGAAAATAAAAATATTTATTTCATTTATTAATAATGTTATTATAAATTATGTAATGTTGATAGTTTAATTAAATTATTTTTAATAAATAAATTAACAATCCACAAATGGTTTGTGGATTGTTGTTACTCAACACAGTGTTAAGATTGGTAGTCGTTTTGTGTTATAAATAAATTATAATGAAATTCTAAAAATAATTGAATTAACCCTATTTCCAAATTTGTTTTGAAATAAAAAAATTATTTTGACTACAAAATCAATATCCTATCAGTAGTGGGTAGAGTTGGCCCTTGAGCTAGATCTGGCCTACTGACATTTTTAATTCCACCCACGTCAAAAATATCAGGATTAAGACAAAAGAAATTTTCTAGAATTACATGTTTTGTATGAATATTTAAATTTAAAATATATCAAGTTTATTTTAGTTATGATTAGCTAAAAAAATTATGAAAGATAAATTTTTAAACCACAATATTACTACTCAAATCTTTAAAATGCAGTATATTTGTGCTGCATTTTCCTAAATAATAATTACACATCTTTTAATTTATTTGATAAATAATTATTCTTTATTGATAGATCTTATTTAAGAAATAAGATGAGAAACTGAACAATGATTGTAATTTCAATAATTTAATCTTTTATTTTGATGCTTATAATTGATCTATTAATTAAAAAAAAAAAATTCCTGACCTGTCAAAAATCAATTAATCAACATATTTTAAGCTAAATTAATTCTAAAACAATATTTAAATTAAACCTCTATAAAAACAATACCTATTTCTATGAATTATGGCATTAAAAGCTAAACCATCTCTCCAACTAGTAGTGAAATCTGTAACTTTTACACCAGGATATCTGTCTGTAGTACGTTGAGCCCAGCGAAGAAGAGCTTCACGTGCAGAAAGATTATCATCTGTATGGCCTGTGATAATATCAGAAATCTAAAAAAGATAAATAAAATAATCATATTATTTTTCTTATTAAATTAGTGAATCAATTATGTTTGAATTTTTTACAATTCTGAATAATTTGTAACAGTGTATTTTATAAATTTGATTACAGTAATTCAAAATTCTGTCTTTGCTTTATTCAAAATGGGGTATATATAGCCTGAATATTGCTGTATTAAAATATATATATTTACAGCAATATATTGGACTTCAATTATTATTAATTTTTTGCCATTTGCCTAGTTTTCCATAAACAATATATTTTGTAAATGTTAAAAATCTTTACGGATAATAAAAGATTCTAATCAATCATTATTAATTGACTGACTTAAAAAAAAATAGTTAATCATATTCTAAAATTAGAACTTGATTGCATTTATTTCAAAAGTAACCTTTTGCGAAATAAATGTATTGTTTCTATAAAGATCAGTGAACTCATTATAATCTTGAACTAATTGAATTTGAACCCTATCATTACATGTAATTTTGTTATAGATCAAACAAAATATAATTCTGATAGAAATATCATCAAAATAACTCTTACTTAATAATTATTAATGTTTATGAAAAATTTTAATTAAAAATTTTTAATGACACTTGTTATGTATATGAATAAGAAATAAATAAATATTTCATTGTTTTGACAGCAAAATCATTACAACTAAATATTGTTTTGATAATAAGATGCAAAATATTTATGAGGTATAAAGTCCAAGTTTTGATCTAACTCATGAGACTTTTTCAAATTTATAACCTTAAGTTAAATCATATTTTCAAATGTTTATTTACAATATTAAAATTTAAAATATGTTTACATTTGCTAAAATTTATTTACATGTATTACTGAAATTTATTCTATAAGCTAATGACATGAAATTTGTTGACGAGACTATGTCTGTCTCTAAAATTGTGCTGTGCTGCTGTTAACGGCTGCACACCTTAGAGGTATGAAGGAGTACATGTCAGGAGTTACAATTTGGCACAGAATATTTGCAAGTGCAAGATTTGCACATGCATTGCTCGTGCTCTCCGAGACATAGTTTTTTTCCCCAAAAATGACTTTGCCATTTTACTTGTTTTTATATATTTTTATTTTAAAAAGTTTATTCAATTTTAATTGTAATTCTGAATATTTTTGCATATGAAATACAAATGCTTCAAAATTTTGATCCAAAATGTTAAATATTTTACTATATTTAATATATAGTAAAATATAATTAGTAAGAATAAAATAAGAATAAATTTCACAAATTTAGCTGTTAACTATGAATATGTAAGGCAATTTATATAACCAACAAATTAATGAATCAGATGCCTATCAATTTGTTCAAGTATAATAACTAAATAAATGTAAAGATACCTGACACAACACCATAACACTATTATTAGGAAGACTGTGAAGGAAGGAATATATTCAGTATTCATATTCAATATTCAGACATGTCTTGTTACATATACTGTATATATGCAGGGTTGGAGTGGACAGAGAATTAGGCCAGGGAAAAGATAAAATATAGGCCCTTAGCCATTAAAAACATTATAATTTTAAAATTTTTATATTTATTACATTATGCTACATAAATATAAAATTAATATATCAATTAAAACACATTGCATTAACATGTCTTAATAAATTACTACTTTTGCTCATGTCATCCATAATTGCTTTATTTTTGTTTCTGATGACATAAGTACAAATTCTTCCAAAATGATTTTGAATCATCATCTGAACATTTGTATTCATGTTCATATTCTTCTGTTAGGGTTTCATTAAAAATAATACATTTTTTGCAAAATCTAATAGTTCTGTCTGTATAATTTCCTTTGTCACATTGATATTCAATTTTTTATTTATCAAACCTGTTTTTTTTTCTCAAATGTATCAAATGAAATTTTATTAATTCCATTTGATACATAAAATTTTATAAATCTAAATAATAAAAATCATTATAAATAGCATTGCTGAATAAATAGCAACTATTAAAATTTATTGTTTCTTGCATTATTTAAACATTAATTTGAATATTGTTATAAGCATTTACATTTTTGCTCCTTTTGTTTTCTATTAAAACATCTATTAATAATAATTTAATATTAATTTTTCTTTTCTCAATTTCTTCATTTACTGCTAGTGTTCTTTGATTATCACAAATGTATAACACCATGAATGTATTTCCTGGAATAAGTATTTTTTAAAATAGCTGTCTGTGACGGCCACAGTCAAGCAAGACACAAATACAACATTCTTGCTATAAAAATAATAAGGAATTCCAAAAAATTTAGTGCTGTGTTTTATTCTTATTATATTAATTTTTTAAACAATGGTCCAGCAGCCCTCTGAAGATGACTGTTCACTGTGGAAAGCCTAGTACCCCGATGGGCAATCAAGCCTTTTATAAATGTTACAGCTAAAGTCTGTGAATCAGATAAAGCAAGTAACAATCTATTAATTTTGAACTTTATCTGTATAAGCACATTTTATCCAAACCACAAGAAGATAAAAGCTGATATTATCCAAATATGGATGTATGAAGCAAGAACAAAACTTAAAATTCAAGATTTATCTGGATAATATGGAGTCTAATAACCATTGTTAAGACAGAGCTGAATATAGATGCTACATTTTGATGGGTGCAAGCATTTTGATTTTTAGTTATTAAGTGGATAGTGGGAACAGGGCAATATTACCAGGTCTGGCAATTCATCATAGATTTCAAGCCAATTGATGACATGGCAATGATTTTTCCAATCTGGTAATTTTTTCATGCTTATGATAAACTTCCTAAAAAAAAACTTGTAAACTCCAATCATATCATATTAATAAATACAACTGAAAACACAAAATCCTTTTTTAATACACACAGGAATATGTAAAATAAGCTGCAGCATTATTTTCTATTTGAAGGTAAGTGCTGCAAAAAAATTTTTTTTTGAAATCTTTACCAGAAAATCTTTATTTATTTTTCAATTATATTTATTACTTTGATCAACCCATGGTATCTGCCATTTAAGATCTATAAACACAGTAATCTGTAAATCAAAGTACTTCTTATTGTTACTTCATTGCTTTAAAACTAAATTTGATAATATTTTAGTGAAATAACTGGCAACATTTATTTTTGTTCATATCTTTTTTTTATACATTACAGAAAAAATAAATTCTAGTTTATTCAAAAAGCAAAATTTCTTCTTTATTCATCCAACTTTCATTGGAATGATTGCAGATTATCTATGCTGTGAATTATTTCTTTAGGAAAGAAACATTAATCCACATCAATGCTTGCCTTGTCAGACCATCTTTATTTCATGAATGTCATATTGTATATACATTTTGGGAACTTTCTATCTTCAGTATGGCACTTCCTGAGATACATTATTTTTATATTTTTAAATACAATGTTGTAATTTATCATTTTTGCATCAACTAAAACCCTATGCTATTCAGGGGGAGAAAATAAAAATAAACACAAGTTTGGCAGGAAGAGAGTAAAGTGAGAAATTTAGTCAGCTCAATGATTCCAAAACAACAGATCCAAATATGTAATTCATTTAATTTAACAATCTGCAAGAAAGAATAAATAAATTTTTTAACGAATTTAACACCACTTCAAATGAATTTACTGCAGAGATGTCTTGTTGATAAAAAATAAATAAAAGGAAAATATATGTAAAATCTAAACCTTGTTATATAAATTACAAAACTATTTAAAAAATGAGAAAAATAACGTATCTAGGAAGTGCCATACTGTGAGAAAAAGAAAGTTTCCAAAACATATTTATGGCATTGATGAAATAAAGATGATCTGACAAGGCAAGCATTGGTGCAGATTAATGTTCCTTTCATAAAGAAATAATTCACAGAATAAATATTCTTGTTTAAAAATCTACGCACAAAGTCTTGATTTTTGCATAATTTAAACTCTGATGACTCATTATTAAAAGCATGACACAACATTTACTTTTATTTAAAGGAAACTTTTGTCAAGAATAATTAAAATAATCATTACATATACTTCATTATGTATCATAAACAAAGGCTTTGTTACAATACATTTAGTATAGTATGTACAAGACAAAATTTACAGTTATGCTAAATGTATTTTATGCTGAATTCCATTTAAATAATTAATTGAAACAAGTATAATTTCCTTTAAATTTAATTTTAAGTTTACAAATAATAAAATTAAAATATCAAAATATATAATTTAGAATTCTATGCATTTGATTTTTTTTAATATACTATCATAAAAATTAACAACATTAAAATCTCTTAATCTCTAACAGTTCATAACAAAGGTTTTTCTATATAAGAATTGTAAGGTATTTTTAAAACAGTAATATTTTAATTACATAATCATTAAGTCAATTACTAATTCTTATTGACAACAAGAAAAGTATTTAGTAATAGAACAGCATATGTGACCTTAGCCTCTTTTAGATTAATACACGATAAAATAAAAAGAAAAACTAACAAAACTGTACATCATTAATAAGAAATATTAATCAAATTATTCAATTAATTACAATATTTAAACAAATTTATGTTAATTATTATGTTAACTACTTATTAACTTTTTACATTGATGAACGATTTGCAATGTAGAAAATCTGTAACACGTTTACCTAATTTAATAATTGAAAAAGTTACTTTTCAAATAAATTATGTAGACAGATCTGTGAAATTTATTTTTTCATTTTCAATATTTGCATACGATTAGCTTATAGATGTAAATATTCAATTTAAAAAGTTAAACTAGTATACAGTATTTTATTAGATTAATTAAATGTAAAATAATAAATAAAATTATCAACAAATATGTTTGTAAATATTATTAGTAGTAATATTTCTAATTTAATAGGAAATAAAATAATTATAGTGAAGAATTAACAAAATTATTTCAGAAAGTTTGAACAAGGAAGAAACAATTTTTAAATATGGTTGTATTAATCATGATCTATATTTTAAAAATTTCGTTTTCACTCTCTTCCTGATTCTCATAAACTCAAGTTTAGTCTTTGAATTACTGAAAGTTAAACAAATTTTGGAGCTGGTATATATATATTCTCGAAAGCAACAGACTATTATTGTTTGACAGCTTCTGAGGATAAAATGCAGAATTTCTAAAAATGTTCTAAATATTAAAATCTCATAAGATTTTCAAATAAACAATCTCTGTATTTTTTATTCAACAATAGTTAAATCTTTCACACTTTGATTTTATAATAAATTCTTCATAGCAAAAATAAATCAGTAGTTGTATATTTTATGTTACTTTGTATTTATTTTTTCTCTTCTTAAAAACATAAGCTTATTCATATGCTTTCAATACAAATCAGAAAAAGTACAGGCTGTATAAATGACAGTGTGAAAGTGTTATGCTTTCATGAGTAGGGTCTGTGTTTTGCCAAATTGGACTCCACTTTTCCTCCTTTTAAGAGTAGAAAAAAAATTAACAAGGAGAACAATGCAATTAGAATATTAGTGGAACAGATTATATAGTAATCAGAATGCAATTAAATAAAATGCAAACTTTTTGATAGTTAATTAACTCTGCTAATGATGTAAAAATATATTTATTTAAGAATTTTATTTAAGAATCTCATAAATTTTTATTGTTAACATCAGTTAATAATTTCAAAATTAAAATTTACCAGTGGTAAAAAAATCAACAATTACGAAACTTTATTCTATTGTTTGTTTAATTTGGTTGTATAAGTTACTATTGACCTAAATTAAAATTCGTGAAATAATAGTTATATTTTTGTACATTTATGCTAAAATATTTCCTTTTTTTCATACATTTTTCAAAATATTTTAAATATTCAAAGGATATTTTGCTTCATTTATGTTGTACCAGTACAGAACAGAATTAAAAGTCATGGAATCTTACAAATCAGATAAAGAATGCTTCATCATAATATGAAGAATTACATAAAATTAAAACCATTTCATATAATATTGAAAAAAAAAAGTTATTCTATTTTAATTATTTTTAAACTAAAAAACTTACATAAGTTATTTTGATTTAAAAATGTACGAATTTAGAATAAAATTATCTTTTACATAATTTTTTTCTTCATTTGTAAAACTTTTTAATATATAAATTATTCTGATTAATACATCAGGAAAGTGATAACTCTTCATTATAAACATTTCCAGACTTTTAAAAACTATTGTAAAATTAATTCAAAAGAGGCTAACTTCAGAATAAATTCATTCATCCATTTAAACATGAAAAATAAATTCCATATCAGAGAGATAAAATTGTTTGTGTGCCAACATGACCTCAATTCATAAAAAAAGGTGTATAAAACCCTCTCTTTGTTACAAGCTGCTGAGAAAAAATATATTTAAAAGTTTAAAAAAAACTGTACATGGATAAAATCATTTTCATAACACTGTTTTTATGTATCAAATTTAAGAACATGGCAGAAGAATTAACAACAGTCGATTTTTACCTTTAATAAAACATACGAAATTTTAACAGCTGCAGGTATTGAGCAAAACTAAAGCAATCTACTTCTGTAAAGTTAATAGGAAACCGGTTTTCTGTCAAATTTTATTATATACTTAAAGTAAAAATATGCAAAAATCATCCCACGTGTGTGACGTTTGACGTTAAAAAACAGTCAACAAAACTTGTCTATTACCAAATTTGGGCCATGTGATACAGATTATATTGTATATTTCAGAGCGTGCGCGATAACAGACAACACAACTCTAAGGTCAACTTCCTGCACCGACCGGAAGTGGCTCAGTTGGACCGTAACCAATATTAAAATTATGCAAAATTTATGTACGCATAGACATATATAATATATAATATCCCACCTTTAGTTTCTTTCTGGATTCTGAAGTTTTGTTTACGGTCCTTTTAGTTTCGGTCGATCTTTTGGGCAGTGCTAGAGTTTGTGTACCTTCGTTTCTCGTCGAGTGGACGGAAGAATCCGCTAACGTTTTATGTTCCGCTCTTGTTAGCGTCGTGGTCTTGCGTATGACGCGAGAAGTGTGTACGGTCCTCAATCCGCTACGCACGTGATTGGTTCTATACACCTCTTTGGATTCCTGAGAAGCCGATGCCATTTGGGCTTTAGTCTGATGATAGACCGCATGTACAAGAGCACGATCGGGCTCCAATTGATCGCCGGGATCGGGTACATTATCGGCGTCGTCTCTGTCCCTCGTACCTTTAACGAAAAGACGAGCTCCTCTCACAAACGAATACATAGTCACTCACTCACTGTGCCGCCGACTATGGCGTCACCACGTTAAATACGCCTTAGTAGAGTCGAACTGGCCTGACGGGTTTCGCTCCATGTATGGTGTGACCTGTATGCGTGGCTCGGCTGGCTACGAACAGTTTTGTCCCACGCAAACCCTCCGACACTTTGGTATAGTCCCATCATACACATTCCTGCATACAGTAGAGGTTTCGGAAATATTTGTAAACACAGGAAACTGTAGCTTTGAATGTGTTATCAGAAACTATTGTGTATCGGACCGTCCAGGTAAAGCAGACATCCCGAATGCATACGCCAGGAGGCACCACCTGTTCCGAGTGTACAGGTGTGACGTTAGACGGTGATACGCGTTATATCTGTTCCTTCTACTTTCTATTCAATGATTATCACCGTGATATCATCACCTCTAAAACTTAAATTGAAGTTTATGTATTGATTTAATAAAATAATTTTCTTATCTCGGTTGTTTTCATCACTTAATATGCGCAGCCGCGCGCCCTCGTCGCGTCGCGTTCACACCTGCTTGTATTATCTTCTTTGTTAAGAAAAAGTCATTTCTGGAAATTATTTATATGTTTTTATGACAAGAAGAGATTAACAGTTACGAAATTATATCAAATAGTTGTGTTTTATAAAACAGAACAACTATTAAACAATAGTGAGCGTCGCTTCACGAGATGACGCGAGAGGTAGATCCATCTATAATAGTAACTTTAATAAAGCTAAAGATGCTCCACTATATAATGAAATAATTCAATTTTTCGATGCATTAAACTTTTAATTATTATTTAAAGAAGTTTTTTTTTTCCTTATTTACCCTTTCAAGGCCGAGAGAATTGCCTCCGTAGACACCCACGGCAGGAGGGACCAGTTCCCCGGAGCTAGACGCAAAACGTGGGCGCTTCGGAGGTAGTTTAGCTAGTACGGTGGTTGGAAATTTTTATCAAAAAATGCCTAGATAGATTTTTAAATGTCAACAGGTGCCGCAGACATATCCTTAACAGCCACACCCGAATTGCGTTTTATTCGCCCATCCGTTTTGCGAAATTGGAGAATAAAAAGCAAAACGTGTTGGCGATGTTATGCGAAAAAATACTAAAAACACACAATGATAGATATGTAGGACGCGAAAATCAGTCTAGTGATGGCAGTCAAGACACAGGGCACCATCCTTTATTGTTCCATTTCCATCCTTGTAAAACGAAACTCCGCCCAATCCATTAATTTCTAGACATCAGGGATAGATAAATACTGTTTTCTTTATGATGTAAAAATCATTGCTAAATTCCAAAATGACTCAAGGTCACATTTCAAACTTTTATATAAAAATTTCCCCTATTCTCAAACGATTTTTATTTAACATTTCTGCTAGTTTACAATTACTTAGAAAAAAGTCGCCATTTTTGTTTTTATTATCTTTCCAAGCGGAAAACACTAATCGTATTCGAAAATGCGTAATCTCATACATTTAAGTTTCTATTTAAACTTTTTAGAAGACTTAATGAACGAGAAATTTTCTTTCTTTTTTTAAGTGTTCTTTTTTTTTCATTTTACTTCTCTCTACAACTTCTTAGATCGAGCTTATTTCATGGCTTTCAATTTTTTTTTTTCAAGTTTACTAGAGTTTTTTGAACGAGTTGGCATCTGTAATCTTCAGATAAGATTCGAAAGTTCAATTTACACATTATATATACACCGAATATAATATGCAAATAGGTAATACATATAAAAAAAGGGTATTTTTCTAGAAAGAAGAATAAATAAATTGTCTTTCCTTTATTAAAAAAAAAACTACCGCGCATCTTTGATGGCGTTTTTTTTCAACTTCAAAAATATTTAATATTTAAAATATCAAAATTTTTACTTTGAAACAGATTTATGTTACATGTAGAGAGATATTTGCACAACAGTTTTTTAATACCTAATTAAAAAATTTGTATGAAATTCCAATCTGAATCAGGCCTCAAGAAAGAAATTGAGAAATTGAACCTACTGTATTTTAAGTCTAACACTGAATAATGGCCAAAAATTAAATATTTAAATAATTTTTTTTTTAATTTTAAAAGTTTTTAAACATAGTTTTAACGTTTAAAAAAATTAAAAATAAATAAATTAAAGGTAGGGGAACCCATTATGTCCTTATATAATTAAAACAGGGTTGATGTAGGCATAACCACAAAAATGCTCTGCATATAATTATAATACATTATATAAATTTTATTCTCTAATATCATCAGAATAAGAAGACTTGATGTAAAAAATTAAATACATTTTTATATATATTTAAATTCAACTTTTTATATAAAACAATAATAAAAAAATAATAACTATTGGGTCTATTTATAAATTAAATAAATAAAAATTATAAGCTAAAATTATTAAATTAAATGAAAGAAAACTTTTAAGATATTTAAGAATTGAATATTTATAATTTTTTTAATATCACTTTCATTTGTACGCTATTTTTAGCGCCGCCATTTTTTTTCTTACACAATGTATTTTGCCTCACCACCACATGAAAACCAAATTAAAAATTCGGTTAAAATGAAATAAAATAAAATTTAAGTAACGATAAAATTGNATAAAGAAATAAAATGTTGTTTCAATTCTCTTATTGATAAAATCCTAAAATTTATAAATAAAAGTAAAATAAATTTAAATTTCGAAAACGTGAATTTTGTCTAGTATTTATTTATTTTACTTTGTCACTTTATACAAGATAAAATTTGCTTAAATATTTTATGTATTTAAACAAATCTGAAGAAATTATTGTTGATAAAAAAAACATTTTTCTCTTGTAATCAATTTAAGTAACAGGAGATTAACATGAGAAATAAGTAAATTATGTTATATCTAGTTGTTTTGACTTTATATACTTCTTCATTTAAACTCTTGAATATCTACTGTCATTTTTAAAATATTGCTTTTATTTTTCCATTTATTTAAATTATTAAATAAGTAAAAAATTTTTATTCCCAAATACAATTTTTTTTTCATTTTATCATCAGTTTATTTACTAAAAAACAAAACTAGGTTATCTAAAGATTAAGTCTTTAGAAAGGTTTACAACAAATTGTCTGACAGATCTAATTTAAAAGGAAGAAATATAATAATAAAAAAAATTTTTAAAGTAGTTTTAATTTCCAGAATATTTAGTTCCCAAACATCAATATAGTTATATTAATTTTAATTGAATTTATTATTAAATATTTAAAATAATTACTGTAAGAGATCCAAACTGAAAATGTTGATCATTCAATAACTTTTCAGTATTAATAAATTATAAGAAAAATTGATTTCTATACCCTATAGAAAATTTTTAATTATAAATTTGGAATATATTTTTATTGTTTTTCTTGTACAGAGAGAGCTGAAAAAGGAACATCATGTTCTTCTATTAATGTTTATTTATTTTTGATATTTTGTTATGCATCAATAAATTTGATTTGATTGTGATATTCTTTTATATTTAATTTTAGACATGTTACTACATCTTACTGTAAAAAATGACCATTAATATATTAGTACATGTCAGCTGGATATAGGTCAAACCTCTCTAAGATTTCTTCCCACGAATTTATATTACTATTTAATATTTAATATCAATAAAAATACTTTTATTTTTAACTTAAAATTTCGGTATTATCTATTTATATTATTGCCTATTATTAGTTTGAAAAAAGAATAATATTAAAAGTAACAGTTATTTTTGAAATGGTACCCGCATCAATATACAGATTCACTAGAAAACATCGATCTATGTGTCAGTTCGCTTTCTCAAACAGCGTGAATTAAATGGTATTTTGTATGCAAGACACATTTAAAAATTTGTTTATAACGAGTGATTAACAATTACGAAATTCCTGACAGCAAACCCTAATTTCTCGTTTAGAAGATTAAATATTAAAAAAAAATTAATGAAACAAATTTATTTATTAAAACTCTTTCCGTCCTGTGGGTACTAAGAATGCCATTTTTACAAGCCCATTATGGGTTTGGCCACGCCACAACGAGGAGACCGAATTGGAAGGAAGGGTCCGACATATCCGTATGAATCACTCACCCAAAGGTATAGTACCTCAGTGGCGCGTTATACCTTCATGAGGCCTAGGCAAATTTGGATTAGATGGCCCCACGTACAGTGTTTACTTCAGACATTTTTCTTCAATGGAATTTTTTCGGGGAATATATATTTTTTTTTTTATAAAAGATTGATTTGAGGCTCCCTGTTGGTTAGGGCCCCAAGCAATTGCCCTTTTTGCCCATAGGATAATGCGCCACAGCAATACCTGGGGTTTTACGAACAGTTCGAATTCGACCCCGGGTTCCTAGAGCAGTGTACTGTCATCTTAAATGCTTAATTAATCACGTAATAACGATTGTCGATGATTTTCTCGACAAATATTTAAGCTATTTTTTATTGTTTTCCCTATATTCCCTATTCTTTACCTATTTAAAATATTTTTATTAAGTTATCTTTTTATTCTTTCCGTACTGAGTATGATCGGTTATCCGAAAGTGTCTCGCATCCCCCCTTATTTTGGCGATGCTCCACTGTACAGAATTTCTTTTGTCTTTCTAATGTAAAATATTAGATTGAACCCCCAAAAATATGCCACACAAGTGGATAAAATTACATAAAAATAAAATGTAGGAAGATTTATAAAATTTTAAAAAATTCAATTTTATGCTATTGAAGAAGCTACCAATCCCTGAGAGAACAATTTTTCTCAGAGCGAAAATAATCTAAAAGTACAACAACACAAGCGAAAACGATGTATTATTATTATTTTTTTACTTTATAAATAAAAAATAATAATAATAAGTGTGCAAACAGGTTTCTGAGGAGTATACTTACACTTTAGATTCAAAAACACTACCCTAAAATATAGAAGTGGGCATACAAATGTAACACATATTTGGCTGAAATTTCAACAATAATAAGTAATATAATACAAAAATATATAAACTACAGACTAATTAATAGTTTATTTAAGTTAAAAATTAAATTTTAAAAGTATTTTTAATCGAATTTATTTCTACTTTTTAAATTAATTGTTGATGAAAACTTTTTATTAAAATTCAACTTGTAAAAAGACAGAAAACGAAATGAATCAAATCATTAGAGCTGACAACTATCATTAGTTGGAAAACATCGTGTAGACTCATTTATTATTCATACATAAGCTTGTAGAATAGACCAAGGATGGGGGGAGAACACGTTTCTCAGCATCCAAGTTAAATGGGCAAGTAGGAAACGGATGCCAGTTTTTAAGAGAATGTCCTTGAATCATTGTAAAAAAATTCATTCAATAATTTGAATATGATCGAATGCATTTTAATAGCTACTTCAAAATACATTCAGCCAAACTAGAAATGAATAGAGCCAACACATAACATATCATTTGTAATATTAAAATTCTCATAGATTTACGATTTAGAACCGGATATTTTAATTCATAAAATCATCTTAAAAACTTGTAATGGCTATTAAATTTTAAAAAATTCTTCTAATTTTATATATAGAAGCAATAAACTCATTTTATTTGTTAAATGTTAAGGTGTATAAACGTTTTAACGGCTTAACGCACGATTTTTAATGATTAAAAAAATAGTTTAATTAGCGCGAAATACCGTGTAAACAACCCATATTTAAAAAAAAAGTTCATTAGCACCGAACAATACTTAATTAACGAAAATCAATTCTTAAATTTGAAAGTATGGTGTATACTGTAGTACATTTACTGTACTAAATTTAAAACCTTTGTTATTTACTTTTTTTAAAAAATGTCAAGCAGAACGAATTAATGTATTAAGATTAGTTTTAAAAAATAGTAACATAAATCATATTCAAAAGGTGTAATAAAAAAAAAAAAGTCCTTCTGGAGATAGCGCGACTTGACCTTAAACTTGCCTTTTGTTATACAGAAAAAAAATTATTTATTAATAAAAATCATCATAGATTTAGTAAAGATTATATAATAAATTTTTAATTTATAATANTAATGATTAGTCTATTTATACATGTATAGGCTATATATATATATATAAATACTGGTCATAACAGTTATATTATCATTTTAAATTTTACCTCTATTGTATTATTTTAGCTGTAATAAATAAATAAAATATAATAAATAGTAGAGCAAATTCAAGGAAACAATAAGCGAACATTACTTAAAAACAGATTTTATAGCACGAAAAAAGAACATTTAGATATATTCTAGATGGAAAAATGTTCATTATTTTATATGATATTCTATATTTTTGTTTAGGAATTGAAAATTACGTGATACCGAAAATAGATTACGTGAATATATATCGTAAATAACGAAGTAAATGAGGAAAATGCCATATTTCGCAAGTTAAATGGCTACTCGATAGTTTAACGGTCACGATAGTCATTTTTTAGAATACATTCTGATGTATCGGCACGTTCTCTACAACCGAATCGTTTTGTTCTTTAGTTATTTAGCATTCTCCCCGAATTCATTCTATTTTAAATGGCAACAATCTTGATTCTAGATTTTAAAATGCTGTTGATGTTTCAAATGTATCTCTTATGTTAAACTTTTACATTTTATTTCAAAATATAAAGACGTTTCGAAAGTTTTTCGAGTAAATTTTTTCGATATTATACGGTCGAATTTCCAATAAACGGCAGCCATTTTTTTCAGGAACGTTTCTTCTTGAAATGCATACAAAATAATCTCCAGACAACGACCATTTTTTTTTATGTTCCCGTCGGTGGCCGTTGTTCAGAAGTTTGACTGTACAGTACATAGGCAATATTTATAACGTTGCGAAACATAAATAAATAAAAAAAACGCTCTTAGAACTTTCATAATAACTATAAAAAAAAACTATAAAATAAATAAATAAAAGTGATAAAGTATTTAAGCTACAGATTTTAAAAATTTATAGTATAAACAATTTGTTCTGAAGAATCCTTTTTATTTATTTATTTATAACTTTTATAATCTAAAGGTGTTTAGTAAGGCAATGTAAAGCCCAGTTTCGAATCAGATCCAGATTCTAGCGCTTTATCATAGGCCTAAATTGCTCGAGACGAACATTTGTTACCCTCCTCATCAATCAGTAAAAACCCAGGAGATTCTGCCAGAGCAAATCAGGATAATCGAAAATGTTTAAATCATCCTCATCTATAATGAACCATACAGAACTTCAATGAGTCTTAATGAACAAACCCAAAGGTAACGTAATTAAATCAATTCATTACAGAGGAAAGTCCAGAAATTTAATCCACAAACTTTTATTGTACTGTACATTTCGTAAATATATGAATGCATTTCAAAAAAATGACAAAAATTTTTCGTTGATGTTTCTCATAATAAATTTCATCCCATTTGTCTGTTTCATTCCACGCTGTTTATAGAAAAATGAACCCCTAATTGCGGTATTTATTTTTTAATGTTTTCCAACCTGTGGATATTAAGAAAGCATCCCTTTTGCTCCTCATAAGACGGAGCTTAGAAACCATTCATTAAAACGTTCTAAGAATCCGACTTGGGCTCGAATCCAGCCTCCTCAAGCTGACATTTTTACCAATTCGACTGTGTATATTTATGCTTATTATAACTGTATCCACTATTAATGCCAAAATATAAATAAAATGGACGAAAGCTTATATGTGGCCTCTTTTGCCATGTTTTTTTGAACAAATGAAATATGTAATAATGCTTCTTTATTAATAAAAAGCAGTCTTAAAGATTTTATTTTCTGTTAATAAAAATATCGGGTGGGAAGCATTACTGGCTCCTAAATCACCAGCTCACACCTATCGATGATCTTGTATAATATCAGAATAAGTATGAAAGTCATCCAGAGTTTAACAATACAACAGTATATACATAATTCTTGATAATATTCTAATATAAAATTTATTAAAAATTTTATTTTTAAATTACATATTATATAATAAATTAAGCCTTTTGAATATTGCATCTATTAAAAAAACAATGAAAACTTTAAGTAATTAATACAGAAACTAAATACTTACTTTTCGATAACGTAAAAAATCCAATGCTATCTGTACATTTTGTAACATGTGAAACCGCATCTTCCCCCTTTCTCTAGGCTATAATTTAAAAGTTTATATGAATAAAACATATTTTAATATAATATATAGATAAAGAAATATATAACAATTAATTTAAATATTTACCAATAATTCGCCCGAGAGAACTTCCAACAGGGAAATAAGATTATGTCCATCTCTTAAATCTTCAAACAGGTCAACGACATATTTATTGGCCTAAAAATTGAAAAGTAATAATTTAAATCAATAAATAATTCACGAAATCGTGTATCGTGCGATAAACATCGAACAATACGATAATAATGGGGGGAAATAAGTGCTTCCATCTAGTGGGCACCATGCAAGTAATAACAATACATAAGGTTATCAATAATAAGAGGTTTGATTTAAAAAAAAAAAAAAGAAAGAAAGAAAAATGGAAATTTTTCTAAAGGTTCATGCAGATAAAGGGTTAGTTACGAACATGCTGAATTTTCACAACGTCCAGATGGGGGGGGTCGTATATATAAGAACTTACGCGTGGTTTGTAACGATTCCTGCACGAACTACACACGTGTAAACAGGTAAAAGTCTGTAAAAGAAAGTTTTATTGAAGACAGCTGTGTTGCAAATGGCAGTAGTAAGCAATGAATCAGATGTTTATAAAAAAAAAAAAAAAAAATATGGTCATCAACTGACATAAATTGGTGATTTTAGATAATCCAAAGGAATCAATTTAATAAACAGCAATTGATTAAGAAAACAGAACGTTTCTTAATCAATTTATAATCAAAATTTTATTATATAATTTTGAATTTATTTATTTATTTTTGTAACTGTAAGCATGCTTATAAGAAAGTATAGATAAAGAGAAAAATACCTCCAGATACCTCCAATGCTGTTGAAAGATGGACGAAGGCAAAGAAATGTATTGTCGAGATAGAGAAAAAAGATATGCAGTTAGAAAACGTTATATATAAGAAAGATTATATTATTTAATAAAGTTTATATGAAAGAAACTGAATGAATTTTAAAAAAAAAATTCTTCTAAACTTAATATATGAGAAGTTGCATTTCGTTGGTGTTAACTTCTCTGCCATTAATAGAGAGGTTGCGGCCGACGTATACGTGTACGTCGGACGCGTAAACGTGTATGTCGGACGTTCAGCGCCGCTTTCCTATAAATCTAAAAGTTTGATTATGGTGTTTGGATAGTCAGTGGAATCATGCTCGACGCCCCAAACACCATTGCCAAACTTCTAGGCCTTTAGGAAAACTTCCGACGTACACGTTTTCGCGTCCGACGTACACGTATACGTCGGCCGCAACCTCTCTATTACTAAAAGATAAATCGAGAGCTTCATAACAAAAAAAATGGTTCACTGACCAAAAATTGCAGTATTAAGGGATGCAAAAAAAGCACGTTAAAGATTCATAAACCGTTTCGCACTTTAAAAAATTTCCATTAAAAACTCTGTTATGAAACTCTCAAATTCTGTATTTAAAACTAGTAAATTTACAATCATTTTAAATTTAAATTTCATATAATTCTTTTAAAAAAATACAGCTCAACAATTGCACATATAGATCTAAAGATATTTTTAAAGATCTGTTGTATATCTTGTAAAATATAGAAAGATATCAGTGTTTACTATTCATCTGTAATTATTAAATAACTTATATAATTTTAAAATAAACTGAACCAAATAATTATTTTTTATAGATAAACAAATGTAAAATTAATAAATTATAGTATATAAAATAAAATTATAATATTTGAACAAAAATTAAAGGTAGATTATTATTAAATAATTGAAATCATATATTTCTCGCTTGAATAATTTAAATATGTATGTATGTACAGTACTATACACATATGTAGGCCTGTAGAGTGTATGTATCAGGTATGATTGATTACAGGATAGAATTCATGCTTTAAAAATTTGATTTACATTCAAAGTATTTTTTCAGGTTCATTTGATGTGTAATGAATCGAAAATTTGATTCGAAAGAATAATAAGAGTATTAACTTTATATTTATCTACAATTTTATTACTAGATCTATTCTAGGAGAAATCTCTGGTTTCTCAGATGAAAAAAAATATATATTTGAGTAACCTTTGACCCTTGACACTCGAAGAACCTTAAAAATTATTCTTTTTTTTAAAAAAAATAAAACTAAAATACTAAGTATTTCTACAATGACCCGTAAAGCAAAATTTCTTAGAAGTATAAATATCAATAATAGTGCAGTTTACTCTATCTGTATAGATGAATATACTGCTTATATATTCACTTATGTCATGCGGGAAATTTTGTATAGGGGTTAAACTTTTCATTTCTAATATATTCTCTGGTATAGAAGACAATCGGGAACACAGAAAACATTTTTCATCATCAAAATAACAAAATAAACGTGGCGTATCATTTATCTTCACGTTACAAAAAAAGTTATAAAGAAAATGAAAAACGAGATAAAGAATTTTTGTAGTATTTTATTATTTGTGGAGGATTTATTTCAAGGACGATAAATTATCTCTGCCAAGACATCAAGACATTTTTTTTTCTTTATTTTACTTGGAGTAAAAAAAAGTTTAAAGACAAACTAAGTAGACGGGAAAACTACCGGTAACAGAGAGCATCTTAACGATTATTATATACAGCAAAGCACGAATTTTTGGTACGATACGATAACTGGCATTGATGATGTTAAAGGAAGCAACACAGGTAATGTCACTCTCTTTTCCATTACGTAATTCTTATGGCTATAAAATCCACCCCTAAATCAACATCTATCGCTGGGGTTGACCAAGGTGGTATACTATTAACCTCAACCTGTGAGATGTTGCTTGTGTTAAGGTCAATTGTGCTGCTTACATTCTCCATTCTTATGATGAATGTAGGGACACTACTTC